AGCGGTCTCGAAAAGGTTCGCGTTGCATCGACGTGAACCGGCGGGCAACTTTCCTCGGATAATTGAACGGCCCATCAGCGACATTCTCGCAACCTTCTCGAGTTCCCCGCTCGATCCGGGACCGAGGCGCGGGGTCTAACGACGTATTTGCCCCGCAGTTACCCCCGACGTATTACATGGCACCGGGGTGCATCGTTGACAAGCGCGGAGACGCCCGACTCGGGTAATCCGCCAAGGGAAACCCTTTGTCCCCCCACATCCCGGCTCGTCTAAAGACGACGCGTGTACTCTATCGAACACGCGGAAGCCCTTTGTCGTCTGCAGCAGAAATTACCTCGAATTAATGCCGCCGAACATCCTACCCGGGCTTTCCCGTCTGGCTGCGACGTCGAGCTTCCGCGGGACGCGCCACTTTCGCCGGGGCATTGTCAGCGGGACGAGCCGCGCTTTGTCTGCCCGCGACATCCGTCCTCGCCACGGAATATTTTCCACGGGCGGCTCGTTCCCTGGAGCCCCCGCCGCGCGAAAACTCTCCTCGTTGTCGGCGTCGATCGCGGTTCTCCGTGCTTTCACTTCGCTCCTAACGTTCATCGCCGAGCCACCAATCGCGAGAGTGAAAGGATATTTTGAATTTATAATTGAGACCATCGCGTCGACGCGCTCGTGTTTACTTCATTATGTAATTCGAGCGTTATGCTTACGGAATTTCATTTCTACCTTCCGAAATCCACATGTATTTTTCAGTGTTTGTATTAACCCTTCTCACTCGGAAGTTCCTTACTAGAAATGTTTGATATTTTTCGACGAGGCAAGGACGATATTCTTTGAGATTAGAGAAGAGATATCGCCAGTATATTGAGGAACAAAGCTATTTTATTCTAATATTTCACGTATCAACGTATTATATAAAGTTCAATGTTAAATATCAGATTCTATAGTTTTCCTGTATCAAATCAGGCGGTCACCTCCCGAGTGCAAAGGGACAGTGAAATGAATTGCAATATGTCCATCAACCTGGTGTTAACATCAGTTTTCTTCACAGGTGTGCTTCGTCGAGGTGTTTTTAAAATAGATTATACTAGTATGTTGTTTTCAATATTATTAACACTAGGTTTACGGAACCCGTCAATTTGACGGACATTGAATTTTTTAAACATTATATAGTAACGGTTTAAGTCGATTCTGATTCGTGCAATTATGCGAATACTCTGGTTTCGAAGCTACAATTTTCGCGATTTATATAAACGAACACGTAGTTTTCTAGGAATAGAATAAAGTGTAGAATAAACGTCCGTAAATATAGTATTAATAACAAACTATCTGTTTTCAAATGCATCTCAAATCGAATATCGTAATGATACAGTTACGGAGGAATATACGCGAAAGAAATTCGGGGTGCAAAGGGTTAAGGAAGTTACCGCGAGGAGCAGTCCTTCTGAAGGGAAACGCACGACGCCATAAATCTCAGGGACGAAGAGTAATTTCCGTGGGTCGATGGGAATCGTCGGACGGTTAATGAACTTTAAATTCATCGAATCGGCGTTAACTGTAGTGTAAAGCGGGCCGAGGATCCAACGGCTTCGTTATTTAATTTGATCGATTATCCTAGCGAGCCCCGACCGAAGTCGTTAGAGGCTACCGCACTCTGCGGGATTAATAACCGCGAGTTATACGATTAGCGGATTTAATTGCGGCACGTGGCAATCCATGGAACGCGCGCGATCTATCGGGATTTCAAAGGAGCCTCGAATTTAATTGTCATCGAAGGGCGCTCGTTAAGGGCGACGCACCTGAACCAGCCACCGTCCCAGCGACGCGGCCCATTGAAAACAATTTTCGCGATTTTAATAGAAGCCGACTGAATGCGGTTCGTTATCTCCGTAATTGCGAGGGCGGCTGGCACGGAACTTTTCGGCCGGTTGTTCGCGTTTCCGTCGAACGTGCGGAACGCTCGCATGTCCCGAGGAATCGGGACAAAGCGGTTGCAGTCTTGAAAGGACTCGACCAAGAAGCTAAGACTTACCCACATAGTCCGTTCGCTTCTTCGCTAAACGATGAAACTCAGAAGTTGATTCGTCGTCACTGGAGAAGAGATCTATTTTATAAGTACTCAAGTTTCTATAGAAAAATTGTAAAATATCAATTCAACTGCTCAGTAAATCTAGTGTTAACGCTAGATTTACGGAACCCACCAATTTTAAAAATATTCCATTCTTTCAACGTTATTTCGTAACAATTTCAGTGAATTGTAATTGGTGCAATTATGGGAGTACACAATAGAATCCTCTGTTACCGAAACTCGAATTCCCGCGACCTATACGAACAAACGTAGTCTTCCAGGAGTGATAGAATAAAGTGTAGAATGACCATAAATCTAGTGTTAACCCTTTAAACTCTAAAAGTAACTCCCAATCACCACTTGATTTGACACAGTAAAACTATAGAATGCGATATTTAACGTTAAACTTCGTATAACGCCTCGATACGTGAAACATTGGAATAAAACAGCTTTGTTCCTCAAAGTACCGGTGATTTCTCTTCGAATTAATCTCAAAGAACATCGTCTCCGTTTCGTAAAGAAATGGTAAATATTTCTAGTAAGAGACATCCGCGTGCAAAGGGTTAATATAATTGTAAATTCAATCAACGTTATGGAGCAAGACAATCTTCGTTCAGACGAAGAAACTCGTCGACGAGATCCACGTTGATTCGATAACTGGGCCTTCCCCGCTTCCACGTCCTGCTGGAACGCAGGATCAGCGAATGCACGGTTTTTCCCGGTCTGTGCCTCGAATCAGCTCGGTCTCCGTTCGTTTTTGTTCGACCCAGTCCACCGGCTCATCCTCCATTCGGGCCGCGTTTTCCGGCGTTTAATTATTTACCTCCCGACCTCGGTTTCAACGTCCCTGCGGCTTTTTCCGCGCAACGTCCCGCGGAGAGAGGTTGGCCGAACGGCGACCGCGAACTTGGTCAACGAAATGCACCTTGGAGAGACGATACAGATGCAACTTAATCCCCGCGCATTCGCCGGCGTGTTTCTTGCGGAAGACGCGCGCCGTCGGAAACATCTCCGGTTCTCCTCCCCGCGGTGTAATAGATGGAATTCTCTATCAACGGAGGAGGATCCCCGACGCGAACCGACGTTCAGAATTCATTTGGTTTTGCCCCGCGAACTCGACGACGCCGGTGAACGAATCCGTCTCTGATCTAACGCGCGAACTGGCTTCAATGTATTAACTCGAAAGACGACTCTCAATCGCAGCGCCTAGTTCGCTGCAGTATAATAAACTTTCGTATGTTCAACGTAAAGTCTTGAATAACGTATGAACGCATGAAATATCGATACAAAGCAGCTCTTCAACACGAACTACCGAGCACTGAAATTGATTTTTCGAAACTTCTCTGTGGAAACTTCGAGGGTGCGTGTACCGAGACTTTAATTGATTCATGATTAAATTAGCGTATCGCCAAACTGATTTCTTTAACTCCCAGAGAAGCATTTGCTACGTTTCTAATAATCGCGAGAAGAAATCCGGGATGGGCCATTTTTTTGTAGTTGTAATTCACGTACAAAGTATCATCGGTACTTTAAAAACAATTAATATCTCTGATACAAACACTTTCCAGAAAGGACGCTTGAAGCTCCAGTATCCATTCGTGCCTTAGTGAAATCGCGTTAGGAATGTTATACTCGATACGTCGCAGTCGCAACGGAAGAAGGATCTCGTTCATCCGATTAAACGAGGACTAATTTCATTGAGTCGACAAAAGGAATCTTCTCAAAGTATTTCCGATCCGATAGCGGAGCGAGAGGAAACAGATCGTCGGAGAGAGTCGATTCTCTCCTCCTGGGAGCAGAGGAAATCGCGTTACGGCGCGAGAGGAAAATCGGCTCCGCTTGAAAGGTGTGGACGAGGCGGGAACAGGAAGCACTCCCGGTTTTCCCTGTTTTTGATCGACTTATCTCGGGTCACGTAGCCGGCGCTAGCGGAACGTTACAATTGAAAGGCGGCCGCTATCGCTGACCGTAAGCGCTTTCTTGCTCGCCGGCTGATCGACGTGACCGCACGACCCCGCGCGATACCTCGCGCGAACAGGCTCGTAAAGAGTAAAGAAACCGGCGCTACCGTTGCCGGATTATCCTCGACTCGCTGCACCTAACGAATTCGTTCTCCGAGGGAAGTGCATTGCGTGCGAACGTGACCCGCGGAGGAACGAATGCGTTCCGGTCGAGACGATGTTGACCTCCGTATCTCCGATTCGCCGGGGTTTTCGGGCAAAGGACACCGATTCACCGCACGGAACGAACGGTTCGACTCGCAATCGGAGAGCCGTTAATTAAAGCACCTCCGCTGCTAACGACTCGGCGTTCAACCATCGATCCACCTTCGCTACTCAACGCGAAGGTCGATGGTTCGAGTGCGCAGTCATTAGTCTACTCGTTTCCCAGCCGGACAATCGGATCGTTTCGGTGACTCGAGTTCTCGATAACATTCTAATTCCGTGTACCGTTCCCGCAACGATTCGAGACTCTGAAATTAGCTACGATACTCGTAACACTCTAGCCTCTTATCGTTCACGCGAACAGTTCATTTATCGGGATACAACCGTCGAATGATACATTCGCCCAGTTAAAGCCATCGTTCTCCGCTCGACTGTACGACGAACCCGGAACTTCTAAACGACCGGTGGAAAGCCGGAATAAAGAGAGCAGTTTCATAATTTCCGCGAGTGGTTTCGCCGATATCGCGTTAAAAGCGATCCCGCCCGATGGGGCGAGGCGGAATCACGGGACAGATAAATTCCCGGGGGCGACATTTATTTGTCCCGGACATTCCCCGCAAGATTGGTAGTTCGAGCGCGCGGCACCAGACAATGGTGCAGCATAATATAGCGGCGCGGCGCGGCGCCGTATTGAAACGACAGCTCCGCTGAAAAAAGAGGCGAGCGCCGGAGTCGGAGGTAGCTACTAAAGCGGCTTTTCTCTTCTTTTGTTTCAGGAATTGGAGAGGAGTTATACGCTCTCGACCCCCGGGGGTAGCAGCCCCGTTTGTTGCCCGCCCTGCAGCCCGCCGCCAGCGCCGGCCGCTTACATATCGAGCGCACGTGCGTCCTCGCGGAGACTCGGCACCGGAAGTGGAATCGGAGGTCCGCCGTCCCCGGAAAGGGATCCCCTGGGAAGACTGTTAAGGTCAGATCCGTCCTCCTTCTTCCTCGATCTTATCGCGCGGCAGTCCTCGATGAAACTTCGTTCGGATAAAAGGATAACGTATCGGACGCGGGAATGGAATTCCGCGCGGCGCTGCGGATGAATGATCGATCCAACCGGCTATCGCTATCGACAGGATAATCGAGCCGAGTAATTTAGAATACGTTCCATCGCGCGAGGTACCCTGTACCTCGGTAAATATCTGCTTTCGTTCATTTACGAATAAGGAGTATGCTAATGAACGAGAAGGTTATCTCGCGCAGCAGCTGGATAGTCGTTCGGTGTAATTAGCTAATAACTATAAAGCTGGCAGTGAAATTTCAAGCATTTTAAGCCCGTGTGCGGAATCCCATCAACAATAGAAATATTCTTGATCCCAGCGCGGAGTTAGAGGATAGAAACGCCGAACATCTCTTGTTTCACTTCCGTTCGTAAATCTTCGCAGTTTTAATCTGTAAATATGTGTTCCAATTAGAAATAACGAGAACTTAACCTCCATGCGAGGATGATGCTAAAGCTTCGAAGAAGTTTCGGAATCCCGTTTTACAGTATGCAAGTTCAATGTTCGAATACAGGGGAGCTTTAACGGGCATCGAGTAGGAGTATCGGTATCCGCGTCGGGCACGGGGCAAACCCATGAAATCGGCGCGGCCGGACCTGTCGGAGTAATCAGCTGGAAGCCGTAAAGGCAGTCCCCGTCCGCGTCCGATCCTTTCCACGGTTGATCACCTCGGCACGAGGTGCCCAGGCCGGGATCATCAATCTTGCCGCGGCGCGGCGTGCGCAACGAATGCATCATTCAACGCGAAACTGCCACTTAACGCGACTACGGTTTCGTCGCTTGGGAAATTAACCGGTCACTCGATAAGCGAGCCACTTCGCCGGGAACCCGTGCGCGCCGACGACGCGGATTAATTGGAATTTTAACGGCGCGCCGGCAGCGTCTGCCGCAGCTCTCCGTTTCGGATTCAGAAATTCACCGAAAGGAAGAGCGAAGAACGCTCCGCGCGTCGCTTAAAAACCGCCCTCGAGTCTTTTAAAACGCCGAGTGCGCTCCACCGCTCCCTCTCTCTCTCCCTCTCGTCGCGATTTACTACAATTTTTAATTAATTGGAGGACCACGGACGACGCCCCGGAGATCCACCGCGCGAGCTTTTCCGCGAGAATTTCCAGCCGGGGCGTTTCATTAATTTTTGAATTCGAATTTGATTAAACCGAAAACACCGTGCTCCAGAGAGGAGCTCTCCCATTGGAAGAACACTCGACGCTAACGCGCTCGCGCGGCACGCTCGCGACGGATGCAATTCCCTTTGTCTTTGCGTATTATTCTCGTCGCGCTTCGTTTTTATTCGGATCGCGACGCTCTCCTTTGACACCGGCCGCGTTTTTCGCCGGGGCGAATTGAACGGAGAACACTCGTCATGCTCGCGACGGATTTTTCGCTGCTTTTTATACGACCGACGGGTTTCCGGATTTCCTCTTCAACGTACCGTACATCCTAGATTTATGCTCGCACTCACTGCGACCGGTGTCTTCCCGTTTCGTCCGAAGTTTCCTCGGACGAAGCATAAATTATTAATAACTCTGGGAACAAGAGAAAAGGGAGAGCTTTCCGCTTCGAATAGATACCGCTGTCTTGATCGTGGCACGGTTCCTAATCATGGAAGCAATACGCGTAATGGAACGAACAGAACCTCGCGCGTCACAGAACTTCGTTGTGTGATATTATCCTAGTGAAGGGAACGTCAAAGGTCGTCCGCGTTTCGTCAATCAGCGCCTCCTTAACCAGTTAACTGTGGAATTTAGTTGGAAAAGCCTCCGGTTTCGCAGTAAAATCGAAAAATGTTCCCGTCGAGCGCAGGACGAATGCACGTAGAGTACATTTTAATGGAAGATCAAAGCGAAACGAGGAATTACACGTTTACGTGAAAAAATAAAGAATTCGCTGAAGGGATTAGTATCTTGTCAAGCTTTACGACGACGTGTATACTCGTCGAACACAGTTAACTGGTTGACACTAGGTTTACGGGCATTTATTGTACACTTGATTCTATTATTCCTAAAAATGCTCGTTTATTTAGATTGTGGAAATTGGAGATTTGATAGCAGGTAATTGGGGTACACGTGTGATCGCATCACTCAAAATAATATTTCTAAAATCCAATATGCGGCAATTTGACGCGTTCCGTAAACCTAGTGTTAAAGGACCACATACGCATTTAAACTTCCAGCGATGTATCGCAACGATCCTTTTATCATTTTCTTTCGAGTGCAACATGTATCATGAAACTTTGGAAGACTCATCGCTCGCAGCGATGCCTGAATTCCTCGATCATTTCTGAGAATTTCGTTGTCTTTCCGGTGACTGCGAATAAAGACGCGAAGAACGGCTCGTTTGGACCTCTACGGTAGTTGTAGCGTTAAACTCGAAACTCGCTGCTTCCAGATTCCTGAAGACCTTCTACAGGGAGCTCGGCACTCGTGATCCACCCCACTTGCCGCCGTGGGCGTCGCCTCTCCCACTCGGCACCCTTTGTCCGGCACACTTCCAGCCGCACCTGCAGCTGCTCCACAAAGGCGAGCAGGAACACAGGCTCGAGAACATCAAGCCCGACCAGATCTTCGCCCCCATCAGGGTGAGTGTCATAAATCATCCCGCGGGAACCGCACGGTGCCTCCGGCGCTCGGCCGAGGCTTACCGGCCGTCCCTGAAACTTTCCGTAACCTCCGCCTCCCGCGGAACCGACGGAGAACCGCGCGGTCGACGAAGAAAAAATTCCCAGAGAATTTCCCGAGGATCCGATCGGTCTACGCGTGGGTAAATTCCACGCGGAAGCGCGGCGACTCGGGCTCTCCGCTCTTAGTCTTTCCTCCAGCCACTTCTATCCATTTCTATCCGCTTTCCGTCTTGCGGTTTCCTTTTCCCTTTCAACGAAAGTTTCTTCGGCGTCGCGATGGCACGGCTCGCTGACGCTCACCGATTTCTGGAGCTGCTTTATCCTTTGGACGCTTTACACTCGGTGTCTAGGTGCTAGGAAAATTTCATTGGATTTCCAGGGAAGCATCTCCGGGCTGGAGATATTTCGTACCTTTATCTTCTGCCGAGCAATGTCCTCCTAATCTTTGAAGCGATATCTTTGTGTAGAAATAATGGTTCATTTTTTGGAAATACTGGTACGACGATTTGAATGTTTCTGAAAAAACTTGGAATGGAATTTCGTCGGGGTTTTCGAGCGTAGCGAAGAGGAGATTACGCGACGAAAGTAGCTGATGCACTTCGAGGCGTTCGCGAATGTTTCGTACCTTTATCTTCTCCCGAGCAATGTCCTAATCTTTGAAGCGATATCTTTGTGTAGAAATAATAGTTCATTTTTTGGAAATACTGGTACGATGATTTGAATGTTTCTGGAAAAACTAGGAATGGATTTTCATCGGGGTTTTCGAGCTTAGCGAAGAGGAGATTACGCGACGAAAGTGGCTGATGCAGTTCGAGGCGTTCGCGATGGAGATTGAATTTTCGGTTATTTTGTGGCCCGAATTCGCACACGTGGCACCGGATACTCTCGTCGGTAGATATTAGCGCAGGTCGTGTTCCATGGAAAACTTTCCGGGGCGAGACGCTTCGGCCTTCATCAATCGTACCGACCGGGGAGACCGCACGCCGGCTGTAGGATTTACATGATATCGACTACGTAATTGGGAAAGTCAGTCCGACGGCGATTCCCCTCGTCGGACGCGAAAAGTTGCTGCTCGCCGAAACTCGGGGATATCGCGTGAAAGCCAAGTTGCTCGACTTCCCGCCGGAGTTCGACGCTTCGCGAGTTTCTTCGGTAACCGCGCCTTTCGCCGGCTTTTTCCTCGGCGAGGCTTCCCGACGCCGGCCGATCCGCACGACTGTTTCCCTCGGCGCGGCACTACAAGTAATTACATTGATTTATGAAAATTCTGAGAGTTCCGCGGATTCGAAATATTAGCTTTCAGTCCGAGGGGAGTTCGAGCGATAGGACTTCAGATCGAAGTTCGCGAGCTGTGAACTCGGAAAATCGAGCACGATCGAAGGAACATCGATAGAAGAACGATGGCTCTTCTACCGCATCGATTACATAAAACGAAACGAAAGTCGAGAAATGAATCGGTTAACAAGTCTAAAGAGAACGTAGCAAATCGCCGTCGTTGAAACCTTGCCCGAACGAATCACGAGCAGACGATCCGACGAATGAAAAGTTAGGAGTGTCGTCGGAGTCGGTCAAGAAGGGAGGATCCACGGAAAAAGGAGCCGGTGACGACGGCAGAAGCGGCTGGAACCGAACCATAAACGAAACGCATTACCTTAATGGTGCACTTTCGCGGAGTAGACGAGAGGATGAACGAAAGTTGGCACCGCGGCGAGCGGACTGCGGCGGCGGGAGGTTCCCGTGGGTTCGGCTGAACCGGGGATGTGCGGACAAAACGAAATTGGCCCGCGTCGCGTGCAATATCTCAGCGCGCCCTCGGCGCGGGCTGTCTCGATCGCGGTAAACTCGTTTCAGGCCTTTTGTTTCGAGTCCGACGGGGTTCCCAGGCGTTCCCGCGAGACGCGGATTGCCGCGGGAATAAGAAGGTCCGAGGGAAGCGTCGGGTCGCTCGAGAAAGAGGATCAAGCGGAGGATTCCCGAGCCTCCGCGGATTCGAACCGGTGTTCCGTTCGAACACTCGCTGCCGCGAACTACTCTCGCGCCGGTATAAGAATCACGCGGCGAACGTTGGATACATTTCTCTACACGCGATCAATCGAATTCTTCGGCGATCAAAGATGGAGCAGTTTCCAAAACTCCGCACTCGACTGTACCGGACGCGCCGCGTCTCGTTCGATGTTAGCCGAGAGAAATCGTCGGGACGTCACCGGCGAGAGATAAATTCCACGGGTCCGAGCACTGGCGAATGGCGAGTTAAACACACAGCTCGCGGAGATATCGGCGATCCGGAGGAGAGCACTGCGTCGGACATTCTTGCCACGTACGAAATTTCCCCGAGCGAGCGACGAGGAGAGCCCTCGGGTGGAATGTAAATTCCCCGAGAAAAATCGTCGACCCCTTAACGATCCGCCGGAACAAATATCTCTGACCTGGATCTTCCTCCGACGCAATTAACGGAGCCCGCGGCGCGACGGGAAAATTCGAGCGGACTCGAGTGCCTCGCGGACGCCGGGAACCGAACGCGAGGAGGACGGTATTTTCGATCGTGTTTCGTTGTCGCTCGCGATAGCATCTTCGAGCCGCGGGAACGTAACTTTCGCGGTCCGCGAGCAAAGAGGGCTTTAATCGGCGGAACGCGCGCGGAGATGCGCCGGACGATCGGGGACGGAACGCGGACCGGTGCCCCGGCTCGCGTAACGAGGCATTGTTCTGTCGCGGCTCGATAAGATGGCCGACTTCGCTTCGTTAACGTTTCAGCGAAAGGCTTTTTAACCGTGCCACCCGATGGAAAAGCCACGGCCGCTGATAACTCGCGCCGGAACGTGAGAATCGCGGCTCTGCGGAGCGAATGGCATTCAGAAATCTGACTCCTGTCGAGTGGCACCGTTTAATTGTCGTGAAACGAACGTCCCTCCTTGCAGCTCTTAAGAAATACACTCGTAACCATGGAAACATCCTCCGACCCGGTATTTTCTCTTCTTGGCGGTACCGGTGTTGAAGATAATCGAATACCTTAAGCGCGATACGTTATTAACCCCTTGTTCTACAACAACGAGTGAGATTTTTAATATGATTCAATATTATTTCCCTGTGATCAACTGTTATACTGGAAAGGAAATATAGGAATAACGTAAGCTTAGAGTTTTTCTCTTTTTCCGATAGATTATCAATGACAAAATAGCTGTACCGATCAGAGTTGAGAAAGAGATAGGCCAAGGGGTTAAAATTGGTATTCGCATAATTATCATCAGTATCCCTCGATTGTTCGCTATAACACTGGATTTACTTCTTGTATTGAGATGTGGAGTGTTCTAAACATTATTTATAAACAGTTTAAGTCGATTTTCATTCGTGTGATTATGCCTTTCAATCTACAATTTTCACAGTTTATATAGACCACGTGTAGAACACGTAGTTTCCTAAATCTGTCCGTAAATCTAATATATTATCAACGACGTATTAACGTAAGAAAATTGTAGGATATCGGAGATACATATTTCATCGGATGCATAGGAATTACTGCGAATTACTAAAGATTCGAAAGGTATAAGGGATCTTCTCTCGATTTGCAGCGGACAAGCAGGAGCATCGATCTCCGAAACAGCGTGTCAATTCAAGGGACCTTCACGAAACCCGTATCGCGCGTCGAAGCCGGTCGTTTCGATTTCCCTCTGTCCGTCTAGTCGCTAAACATCTCAATCTCCCTGCCTTAACGCCGCCAGCATCCACAGGCAGCCGCGCAAACCAAAGATTTATCGAAGCCACGATAAATCCGACCGCCACGGAATCTGCTTATCTTCCGCGCGCACGTATACCGCTGCTAACCGGAAGATATCGAGCTCGTCCGTTTCGATTTCTCGGTTGCGAGGTCGCGCGAATGATATACGCGACGCCCGCAAGAAAATCGATGTGTGAGCAGAAGGAAGTGCACAATTTTCGGGAGCCCCGCGCCGTCCATCCAACATCGCGGCGAAGCCTTGTCTATTCGCGATACAATAACATCTGTTTCACGCGATAATGAAACACAGATATTCGAGAAGGCACGCGAAGTCGGCGGTAGACCGGTGTAAAAGAAGACTCTCGCCAGCAGCGCGGCGGAGAGCGCAAAAAGTCAAAAGCACGACGCCAACTCGAGTACAGCTAATCGTAAATACTAAGAAGCTTAAGAAGCAAAAGCCCTACAAGCGCTCCTGAATAAAGAAACGTTTCGAAGTGCGCGTAATTCAGGAGGCAAGGGATCGTAACAATGAGGAGCAATACAGGAGAACCCGCCGCGAAACTTAATGGCGCAACCGACAGGAATACGTACGAGAGATTTAAAGAGCGCATTACGCGTGTTATCAGAGTAAAGATCTGAAATCCTGCGTATTACTTCTCCCGAAGCGATTATACAGCGGAGGAGAGCTAATCCGATGAAAAACTTCCTTCTTCCCCGTCAAACTCGATCCCCATGTTTAATCCGGATCGCGCTAAGTGTACAAAGTCGCGAACCGCAATATCTAACTATAGACGTTTATTCAAACGATCACAATTTTTTTTAATATCTTTTCTTTTCTCCGCGTTTATTCAAAACAATATACACGCACATCCGTGAAGTTCACATCAATATCAACCTACGCGTCTATATAACGAAACTCCCGAAGATGCACGCAACAAGTTCACAGAGTCGGACGAGACTCCGACGTTCCCAATATTTCGAAAATACCGCCGGGGCCGGACCCGAGCCCGACAAAAATTCCGAACTCGACGTTCCGGGGTTCCATCGGAGCTCCAGTATTCGATGCTGCATTCCCTGCAGCGACGAGAGTCGGCGTCCGCTTCCGATACGTCGCGAAAAAGCGGCGGTTCGTCCGTTCGGTCCGTTGTTCCGTCGCATCCGGCGCGGGGCACAGGTCGATAGCGGCTCTCCGGGGGTGCAGTTTCGTGCCGCGACACGCGGACAATGCGGCACGTCGCCCGGA